ATCCAGTAACATCCTTTCGTGTATACGTCGGCAACGGTGATTCTCTCCGGTGCGCCTATGCTTGCCCCCAAACGGCTGTTTCGTTGCAAGGCCATGAATTCCTTATTGATTTATATCTTCTGGAGATTCATGGCACCGACATGGTTCTTGGGGTTCAATGGTTGCAGACGTTGGGCAAGGTGTCCCACGATTACGCCCAAATGACGATGGAATTTGTGTGGCAGGGCAAACCCATCACCTTACAGGGCGACACTATCCCTCCCCGGCCGATGTCTTATGGGCAATTCTGTACCATGGTGGCCTCGTCTACGTCGTGGGCTCTATATGAATTGATTGTTTCGCAAGCTGAGAAGGCACCGCCCGATGAGACGGTCATGGAAGTTTCGGACGATGTTCCAGCGTCGCTTCGGGCCATTCTCCTTGAGCACGCTGGAGTTTTTGGCTTGCCCACTGGATTACCACCGGCACGTGATTGGGATCATCGTATTCATTTGGTGGCTGGTACAAAGCCCATTAACGTCCGGCCATATCGGTACCCTTATTTCCAGAAGACTGAAATCGAGCGCCAAGTACGGGACATGTTGCAGCAGGGTATTATTCGGGTGAGCCATAGCCCGTTCTCCTCCCCGGTCCTCCTCGTCCGTAAGAAAGATGGGACCTACCGTTTTTGTGTCGACTATCGGGCACTCAACGCGACCACTATACCGGATCACTTCCCCATACCAACGTCAGACGAGCTCTTTGATGAGTTGGGCCATGCTCGCATTTTTACAAAACTGGATCTCCGCTCGGGCTATCACCAAATCCGGATGAACGAGGCCGATGTGTTTAAAACGGCTTTTCGGACGCACGAGGGACACTACGAATTCTTGGTCATGCCGTTCGGACTCACGAATGCTCCCTCTACTTTCCAGTTGGCCATGAACACTCTCTTTCGGGCACATTTGCGTCAGTTTGTTATTGTATTTTTTGACGACATCTTGGTTTATAGCCCCACTTTGGATACACATGAAAAGCACCTGCGTACGGTTTTGGCTACATTACAGGATCATGGGTTTTTTATTAAGCTCAGCAAATGTGCTTTTGGCAAAACCACTATTGAATATTTGGGCCATGTGTTGACAGCCGGCGAGCTTCGTGCAGATCCCAGCAAAATCGAAGCAATGGTGTCTTGGCCGGTTCCTCGAAATGTGAAGCAGCTGCGTGGCTTTCTTGGGTTGACCGGATATTATCGGTGCTTCATTGCCGGCTACGCTGTCATTGCCGCGCCCTTAACAAACTTGCTCAAAAAGGATGCCTTCCAGTGGGATGAATCTGCCAAGGGCAGTTTTGACCGCCTCAAACGCGCAATAACGTCCGCCCCGGTGTTGTGCCTGCCAGATTTTTCCCAAACCTTTTACGTTGAAACCGATGCATCAGACTTTGGTATCGGCGCTGTTTTACTACAACAAGGCCATCCCCTTGCCTTCTTCAGTAAGAAATTGGGTCCACGGCGCCGGTCGGCATCCACATATCATAAAGAGCTCTACGCCATCGTTGAGGCTGTGCAAAAGTGGCGCCAATATCTTTTGGGTCGCGAATTTATCATCCGATGCGACCAACGAAGCCTCAAGGACCTTTTATTACAAGTCATTCAAACGTCGGATCAGCAATTCTACATTCGGAAGTTGATGGGATTCAAATTCAGGATTGAATACAAGCCCGGGGCATCCAATCGGGCGGCCGATGCTTTATCACGGCGTGATGATGATGATCCAGCCATGTTGTTCGTCACCACTGCCCAGCCGCTCCCTCTCCTTCTTGAATCACTACGGGCAGAAAACGCCGCCCTCCCAGACCTGCGCCAGTTGCATGAAGCGTGTGCGGCAGGGAAGGCTCCGGCGCATATCTCCGTACACACGGGGTTACTTTATTACAAACGACGCCTTCATGTCAGCCCGGTGTCGCCCTTGAGAGTTCATATCCTGACCGAGTTCCACAGTACTCCGCTCGCGGGTCACCAAGGGGTTGAGCGGACCTTTCGTAGAATTGCAGCGGTATTTTATTGGCCAGCCTTACGACGCGAAGTGCGTCAATTTGTGGCCTCGTGTGAAGTCTGCCAAGTGACCAAGTATTCCACGCAAAAGCCAGCCGGCCTACTCCAACCTTTGCCAATTCCGGACCGGGTTTGGGATTCGGCTTCTATGGACTTCATAACCGGCCTGCCCACATCGCAAGGATTCACTGCTATTATGGTCGTGGTGGATAGGCTAAGCAAATATGCTCACTTCGGGCCCTTGCCGACAGGGTTTGATGCGCCACGGGCTGCCTGCCTATTCGTCGATATTGTGGTCAAGCATCATGGGTTCCCTCTCAGTATCATCTCGGATCGCGATTCGATTTTTATGAGCCTTTTTTGGCGGGAATCCATGCGCTTGAGCGGCACTACACTGAAGTTCTCGACGGCTTATCATCCCCAAACGGACGGACAAATGGAGGTGGTAAATCGGGGACTCGAACAATACCTTCGTGCTTTTACTTATGAACGCCCATCCAAGTGGGCTCTATTTCTCCCATGGGCTGAGCTTGCATTAAACTGTAGTCATCATGAGGGAATTGGCATGTCCCCCTTCAAGGCTCTTTATGGTAGGGATCCACCGCTGCTATTTTCCACTCTTTCTGTTCGAGCACGCACACCGGAAGTCGAGGCGGTCTTGCAAGAACGGGCTGATTTGCTAAATGATTTGAAAGCTCACTTGTCGAAAATGCAGAACCGTATGCGGGCCCAAGCAAATAAGCACCGTAGAGACGTCTCCTTCGCCGTGGGTGACCGAGTGTTGCTCAAACTCCAACCTTATCGACAACACTCAGCGGGGCGTCCCCTCTCTGCTAAGTTGGGGCGTCGCTACTACGGCCCTTTCGAAATTCTTGAGCGTGTTGGATCAGTGGCTTATCGCTTGCGTTTACCAGAAGGGTGTCGTATCCACGATGTCTTTCATGTGTCTCTTCTCCGCCCATTTGTTAGTCGGCCAGACAGTGCTCCTAATCCTACATTGCCAGATAGCTTCTTTAAGGGTCGGCCCATATCTGTCCCTGTTACGGCCCTTCAAAGTCGCATGATTTTGGTGGATGGCACCCCACAACACCAATGGCTGATTCGGTGGTCGGACGATGCCAACGGGGGTTTAACGTGGGAACCAGTAGAGGCTCTGTTGCGCCACTTTCCGAATCTTCGCCTTGAGGACAAGGCGGACGTTAACCCGGGGGGAGTTGTTATGGGTGATACGAATAAAGCCCAAGGGGAAACCACAAGCGGGGCCCAAGCGGAGCAAGTCCGCATGGGGTGTCCACGAAGGAACGTCGGGCCACCCCGACGTTATTACGACTACGTTTGATATTTTTATTTTAATATTTCCCTTGTAACGTAGATTTTTCTAGGTGAGCGAATTATAAGCTCCTTCGAGGGTTTCTTTTCGGTTCTTTACCTCGATGCTTTTTTTGAACCGACAGGTTAGATAATTAATTAATTAGGGTTAGGGAATGCTTTCAATATAAAGCTACGGATGTCATCACATACGGCAAGCAATAATAGAACATCCTTCTCCCTACACCTCTTTTCTCTCTCAAAACCCTAAACCCTCTGCTAGGTTGTCGTGCGGCCAACTCGTGCGGCGGCCAGCCTTGTTACGTGCTACCCAAAGGCGTAACA